AGAACATATAGCTTAAAATTGTTCACATTATGAATGTTAATATGTGAAAAAGCATTAATATGTGAAATTGTTAAATATTACTAATAAACAATTTCTAGGCTGAAAGAATAACATACAGGAGACACAAATAAAGGCAAATGCTTTCCAGCTAAGAATGCTGTTGTTTCACACATTTGGGATTGATTGTGTGACACTTATAAATACCAACTAAGAGAACAAAAAGGACTAGGAACATGAAGACTCAAATCTCAGCCATGTCACTGGCTGTATAGGGCGCACTTATTCTGAACATCAATTGCCTACGCTTTCTTTTAAAGCTTTTAAAAATTTATTTATTTAAAATTTATTTTAGCCTGGGGTACAGGCTAAAAGTGTTGGGGCGGTGCGAGGATTTACCAGAAACAGAGTGGGGAACGGAACAGACAGATTGATGAGGTACACTGCTGAGGGGAGCAGCAGGCGAGACAGGAGAGGTCTGCTGCGCCATGTGGGTCACCTCCCAGGAGGGGATCAAGCTCGCACCAAAGCTGCCGCTAGCTACCAGGAAGGGTCCCAATTACCTAATCTTTTTAACAGAAATAACAGTTTTGTTATGTTGTGGCTGTGAAAACATAATTAGAATTTTTTAAAAAATTGATTTTTTAAAAAACTAAAATGGTTCTGTTTTCTGAATTATCTTTTCCTCTGAGATTTACTTTTTTTTTTTTTGAGGTTGCAAGCTTTTCATCAATGCCTGATGATCTTTGATAGTGCATTTTTTTATTTAAGATTGGGACATTCTGAAAATTTGACCGGCAGTTGTGTTTAAATAGTCTCTGCTGGTTAACTGTCAATCTTTGTTTAGGGTGAGTGGGTAGGCGACTGCTTATTACCTTATACCACAAACCCATAAATACCACAGTTGTAATGCCCTCCAAGCAAGTTATTCAATTTTGTAAGAGAAGAACATTTCATTATTTAAACAGGAAGTAAATTCTTCACTCCGAACACTTGGCACATGGAGATAAATGAGAAGGTTTCAGAGAATTGGTTTATTGTAAGGGCCACATTTTCCACTAATACTATTTTCAGCCCCACAAGTCACTCTTCAGAGGCTTCTGCAGGGCATTTAGCTCCCAGAACACTCCAGTCTTTATTTAAGGCTGTGACTTCCATCTTTCTGCTTTTCTAATACAAGGAAGCTGAGTACATATGTTATTATTATAATGGTGAACTTGTCCCCCTTTCCCAACTTTCTCCCAAACTTTTACCCATAGGAGGAGTTTGAAAGCACTTGGAGAATCTTGTTAACCCAGAAAGAAAAAGGTAATAATGCTGATGCCAGCACTTTGCTAATAGAAAGCCTAGCCAGGCTACCATGGGTCAACAACTCAATCACTGAACTGAAGTTCCAAATCAGCTTTTTAGTCCTTTAACTTCTACATGGAAGGTAGAGAATGATCAGGAAAAAACCAATGTTTATACAGGAAAAAGGAAACAAAATAAAACAAGCAAAAAGCTAGGATTTCATATTCTCCAAGAGAAAAGATACTGCTTCTATGAAAAAGGAATGTGAAACACAAATATGCACTGTTAAAAAGTCATGGTAATAAACACAACAAATATAAGGAAAAGTTAGAATATAAACTTAAGCTAGGTTCCTGGGAAGTAGAGAAAAAAGGTAAAAGAGATGGGAAACAAAAAAAAAAGGGTCAGAAATGTAGAAGACCAGTCCATTCTGGCCAAGACTCAACTACTCAGAGGTCTGAGTGGAGAAAATCAATGAAACAATGCCTAGGCATTTCCCAGAATTGGACTCAAGACTCCATATAAAAAAGGTCTATCTTAACAACTGATAGGCACATCTTTATGAAAATTCTGAATATACACCTCTACAAGAATCTGCAGACTTTCAGAGAGAACAAGCAGAACATGTATCTGTTTTTATCATTTAAATTATAACACTTCAACCACCGCAACATAGCTTTAATTAATGAAATAACAGCAACTTTTCTCAAATAACATTTAAATGTTTTCTTATTTTTATCTAACTTCCTGGAAGGTAAGTAGAGTGGGTTATAGTATCCCAAAGTACACAAACACAATGAAATGCTACTCAGCTGGAGATGTGAACAAAGGTGAAATCCTGCTGTTTGAGGGGACTGTGCGATAATGTGAAAAAAGAAGGGAAAACACAGATATAAAGAAACAAAGCAGAGGAACAGAATATACAAACAAAACAAACGCATGAAATCTGAGATAGAACAGAGGCTTCCAGAATAGTGGGGATGAGGATGTTGAGAGGGGAGGAGGAAGGGGCCCAGAGGATTGTGGTGGAGGGTTATGGGGGCTTTGGTGGTGGCAATGGAGTGGTAACATCTTTGCAGAGGTATGAACCTGTACCCCTAAAACATATACAGTGTTGTAAACCAGTGCTATCTTAATAAAAATTTTTAAATGCTGCCAGTTGGACAGACAGTTAAATTGCCATATATGATGACAATGGAATGTTTTACACTTTTGTTATCCAATAGAAATAGGAAACATGTAAATTAAACATTTTAATAAACATTAAAATGAAAAAACAGTGGAAATTGATTTTAACAGCATGTTATTTAATGCAACACAGCCAACAATATTAACATCTCAATGTGTCCATATAAAAAATTACTGAGATTTTTTTCATTTTTTTGTACTAATTTTCAAATAATATATATGTGACTGAATGAAGTATGCATTTTACACTACGTTGCAGTTTGTACTAGCCCCCTTTCAGATCCTCTCAGAGTGTACACTTCTATTACTCCCTCGCACTCAGTCATTTCCTCCATCATTTGGAGGGGAGAAAACCAGTGTGTGGCTGAAATTACATCCAAATACTCAGAGCTGGTACACACCGTTCTTCATTACTATCATCATTTTGGGAATCATTCCACTAAAAGTAATAGCCAGACCTGAGCAGCAGCCTTCTACTACTCGCTGAGGGTTGTTAACTTTGTCCTTTGAGTACAGTGTGCAGTGGTTTTGTATAAAATAGATGTCTCTCTTTGGAATCCTCTGCATTTTCCGCAAAAACTGGCAGGCACTTCGGCAGCTTTCCAGAATCGGTTCACTTATCTTCAGTTAACGTCCAAGCCAAACTGATTTGTACACTTTTCAGACTCATGGAGAAAGCTGTGAAGTCTTTTCAGAGACCCTTTCCTCCTTCCTACTCATTATTCCAGGTCTTCAGAAGTTAGAGGATGACACAGCTAGAAAGGTGGTGTTGGGGCCCTCCTTGGTAGCTCAACTGATTAGGACACAGCACAGCAAGCCTGCGGCTTCAGTGTGAGTTCAGCTTCAGTGTGAATTCTATCCCTGCCCCAGGAGGTGACCTCTCTTGAGGTCCCCTCAACAGTGTGCGGAGTCAGTCTGCCCGTTCTGCTCCCCACTCTGTCTCTGGTGAAGCCTCTCACCGCCCCTCTACCTCTGGCTTGTACCCCAGTTCTGTATGCATAAATAAATCTTATTTTCCATGGCAGCAGTGGAGCGGGTGATGCAAGAATGAACCAGACCTTGTCATTCTTGTCGGGTGCCATAGTCCCCCCGCCTTACCCTCCATGTCATTTCCAAAACTCTATTTTAGTGCTGTTGAGGTGGGCCTAGTCTCAGTGTGGACCAAGATTCTTTATGCACAGCCCTGTGGTGGATATATTTGAATTGCATAAAGATGACAAAGGAAGCACGATACTGTTGCTAAGCTTGGTGTGTTACGGTTATAAAATGTTTAGGAATTCTTGCTAGTGGTGGGATATGGTGATGATGAAAGTGCTGCCTCTGTCAAATGCTAATTTGAGTAAAGGTAACTAGCAAAACACAGGGAATGCCCCCAAAGCAGCCTATGTTTGACAAATAATATAATCAGGAGAAATCATTTTTCAGACATGGAAAACACAGGGTCAAATGCAGCTTCAGGGTGGCATCCCTTGGCTGTCTCACCCTCAAGCTGGGGGTCACCTTCCTCTCCCGGTCTCTCTCGTAGCCCAGTGCATCTTCTCAGTGGTTCAGGGGCAGGTGGGGCTTCATTGGGTTGGTGGCCAGGTTGGAACAAGGTGCTCTAGCAGTTCTGAACTTATGGACAACAAATTGGAAAATGAAGACCATCGAACTCCAGTGTTAATCAGACTTCTGCCCTCAGTAAAAACCAATTTTAAATAGACTCATAGATCATGGCTGTGCATTCACTACTTGGTAGTCATCTCAGGTTCATTTACATTGGGTCCTTTTTAATATTTTTGTTTATTTTACTTGTGATACTCATTTTAATATTTTACTTTAAATATTTGAAATATTTGAAACAAATATTTTTGTTCTCTACAAAACTTAAAAAAAAATACCCAACTATTTTAGATTTTTTGTGCTCAGTGTTTTGTTTGTTGACAAGTGTGGGTGTGTAGATGTATGTTTAATCAGAGGCCACTCTTTCTGTCAAAATCTTTAAGAATTAAAACTACCCAGAGTTCTCACTTAAACATAGCATCTACAGAAGTTATGAAAATACACCACTTCCTTGACATCATAATGACTTTGTGATCAACAAATCAAATGTGACATTTAAGATCTTACGATTTTCTTAGATTTAATTTATTATTAGTTAATTTATTGTTAACCAGTAATTTCTAATTTGTGGTTCAGTGAAGAAAATTCCTTCTCATGTAGTATATGTCACATTGTATTAAAAAAAAAATTAAACCAAGAAAGGTGGAGATGGATTATTGTGGTATGTGGTGGGAAAACTGTGAGGACTACAATTGGGAGAAGAAATCAAATACTGTCCATAATTAACAATGATGTAAGAAATAAATTTAATTAAAAAAATCAAACCTGTGGCATTTTATTTGCTTAATGTTTTAATATGCTCTGAAGGGGCATTTATGTGCTAATTGTAATTAGTGAACAACTTTAATATACTTAAAGAATTAGATGATAAAACAGGAAAGATTAATTTTAAATTTTTCCTGTTTTTTTTTCTCATTTTACAGATGCAGCAGCTTGAGCGGCAAGTTATTGATGCTGAACGTCAAGCAGAAAAAGCTTTTCAACAGGTCGGGTAGCTAATTTTTTTTTTTTAACTGTCATTTTTTCAGTGTAAATATTTTTTGTCCAAAGTCTTCAAAATAGTGTGAACTGGGCCGCCTGTGGTGGGGCCTCACCCACATGCTTAAAATTCAGTTATACTGCAGGCGCACACAAAAGGGGCAAAAAGGGTTTATTACAAAAGGGGGAAAGAAAAGGAAACAACTGTAATATCTTACCCGCTAGGCTGACTTGGAACTCTGGTAACAAACTAACTGAAAGCCCCGAGTCCTGAGGTCCGGAGAGCTGTTTCCCTAGCGAAAGTGTGAGACGAAATGGCGCCTTATTTATCCCCCAAAGTCCCAGAATTCCGAGGTCCGGAGAGCCGTTTCCCTAGCGAAAGTGTGAGACGAAATGGCGCCTTATTTATCCCCCAAAGTCCCAGAATTCCGAGGTCCGGAGAGCCGTTTCCCTAGCGAAAGTGTGAGACGAAATGGCGCCTTATTTATCCCCCAAAGTCCCAGAATTCCGAGGTCCGGAGAGCCGTTTCCGAGTGAGAGAGCTAGAGCCGCAATGGTGCCCTTATTTATCCCCCAAAGTCCCAGAATTCCTGCTTAGCTCCGCCTTTGGGTCCTTGCAGTTCTCTCCCTGGTACTGCTGGGAGTTGTAGTTTCCAATTACTGGAGGGGGGGGTAGAGTCTAGAAAGCCAGAGTAGGGGGTGAGGTCCGCAAGACTCTGCAGAGTTCCTTTAGGACATCCTTCCCCTTAACAGTTAGTCCTCTCCTATGTCTTACCATTTTGACTTTTTCAGGAGCCCTTTCTATAGAGAAAAATGAAGAATCTAACTATATTTTGCTTCCTGACATTTTCAAAAGGATAAAAATGCTTACATTAGCAAATTTTACCTTCTGAGAAAATCAAATATGACTTTTATGGTAATCCTAACCATAATGAAGTTTTATATAGAAATATTTTTATAGCATCTTCATTTATGATAATAAAGAGTTGGAAATAA